TATTCCTTATTTTTCTCTAAAAGGTAGAACTAGGGGCTTGATTTAGGAATTTTCCTTCTTTTTTAAACAAGAAAACATTAGGTGGCACAGTACATGGCCTAATGCACTGGACACACAAAATCCGGTTGATCACACTTATAGTGATGTCAGAATGATTGGCAGAGCCAGGCTTTGTCAGCTTTGACTAGTGGGAATCTCCTGGAGTTTTGTCAAAAGGAGATTCCTTTTGACAGGACCCCAACAGTCTTTGAGGACTTCCTTGCTTTCTGGCACCACAGGAGTCCTAGACTTGTTTCCTGTACCAGACTTGAAATCAGCCATTTATATTAGAAGCTCTGTTCTTTTTATTGGGAAAAAGTATTTAGTGGGTATGATCTGGGCTCAGGGATGCTTGTTATAATGGGTTATTACTGCTTCTAGACCTTCCAGTGGACCAAGCTGGGGACTAGGTAGTTTTTCAAAAAGGGAAAAGGAAATAATGAATTTATACAGATATTGCCAATTCAAATTTAAGATTATGGGAGGGTTTTACTTGTATTTTTTTTCTCTTGAACAAAAAAGATCTGAGCTGTAAATGAGATTAATATAATTACTTATTTGCTTTATCCAAGAATATTCATATAGCAGTTTCAAAATAACCATACCAATAGTGCTACTATAAATTTAGATGATTGAAAAGATATTTTAAGATTTCTCTTTGGTTGTGTGGTTCTGGTCATTGTCCTTAAGATATATCTTGCTAAGGATATACTGTTCTAATACTGTGTTTTAAAGTCACCTAAAAGAATTCTTTTCTGCGTTATCATACCACAAACTTAATATATAGTTAAATTCACTAATTTCAGTTCTTTTCCAGTTTTGGGAGGATTTTTCTTTTGTATTTAATTTTATTTTTAAGTATATAAGATATATATTTCCAAAGTCAAAACTATAAAAACAAAGTACATTCAAAGAAGTCTAATATCCTTCCTTGTTCCTTCCTTTTTTTCCTAGGTAATTATTTTATTCATTTTTGGCTTATACTCCAATGTTTTGTTTGTTTTTTAAATATAAGCAGATGTGCATGTATATGAGTATGTATCTGTATACACATATATAGGTATTTTCCTCACTTTATTACACAAAAGGCAGCAGACTATAAACACTGTTTTGTATTTTGCTTATTCACTCATCAATATATCCAGATCACTCCATAGTAAGATATGCAGACTCCATTGTGTGCGTAATCAACTTTATTGATGGACATCCAGGTTATTTCAGTCTTTTACTATTACAAATAGTGCCACAGTGCATATGTTTTGTATTTTATCGCATCCCAGAATACTGTTAGAGATTCTGGGTAAAAAAGTAAATGCATATATAATTTTTATAGATAATGCCAAATCCGTTCCATAGCAACTTTATCATTTTGTACTCCCAACATTAATCTATGACTGTCTGGTTCCCCACAACTTTGGCAGTAGGTATGTTGTAATTTTTTATTCTTGCCAATCTGATAGAGGGCAAATGGTTCCTCAGTATCATTTTCTTTTGCATGTTTTTTTTAATATGCCCAAGCAACATTTGTATTTCTGTTTCTGTGAACTGTCTGTTCATTCCTCTAACCCATTTTTTTCATGGAGTTATTGATCTTTTTCTTCTTAGTTTTTAGAAGCTTTTTATGTTATGGGTTTTAATGCTTTCCAGTAATATAAGTTGGATATCTTGTTTTCAGGATTGTCATTACCTTTTTATATTGCACATGCTGATTTTTCTTACGTAAAACTTATTTTTGAATTTTTATATAGTCAAATTCACCAGTCTTTTCCCTTACTGCTTCTTGATTTTGAATTATAGTTCAGAAAGTTTTTCCCATTCTCCAGTTATAAAGAAAACTTTCCTTCTCTTAGCAGGCAAATAATAATTTAAAGTCATGGCATTAGATGAAGTTGCCCAGAGTGTGAGCACTGAAGGGAAGCAGAGTTTGGCACCTCAAAATATGCCTTTTGGGGATTTCGATCATTTTAAGCTCGTTATTTCCAAGAAATAAAGATTCAGAAAAAAACCTTTGACCTTCTTCCTAACTGCTTAAAAGAATTCAGATAGAGGACCTGCTCCAGAAAGGGAGACATTACCATAGATAGCTATACATTTTATAATGCATAATAGGTATCAATTTTTATCTTATTGAATGTTGACTTTTGTCAAATATCTTTTTGACATCTATGGAGATGATTATATGATATTTCTTCTTAACTCTGTTAAATTGACGAATTATAGTAATGAATACACTAACATAATAGTGAATATACTAATATGCACTCTTGCACTACTGGAATAAGCACTGCAGTTGTGTCTTGTTTTATCCAATCTAACAATTTTCGCCTTTTAAATCTTAGACCAATTTACATCTAATCTAATTACTGGTATGGGTAGAGCTTAAGTCTATCATCTTATTCATTTTCTATTTGTCCCCTGTTCTTAATTCCTCTTTACCTTTTATCCTGTTTTCTTTTCGGATTAATTGAATATATTTCCAGGCTTCATTTTATCTCCACTATTGGGTGAGTAGCTACCCATTTTTGGTTTCTTTTTTAGGTATTGCTCTAGTATTTACAATATAAACCTTTAAATTATTACCATGTACTTTCAAACCCTGTTAAAACACCTCCATCTTTTCTGCTGTTCTTGTCATATATTTTACTTGTACATTTGATATAAACCCCGTAACACTTTTTAAAAAATTTAAAGTCAATTATCTTTCAAAGATGTTAAAAGTGAGAAAAAACTAAGTCTTGCATTTATCCTCACACTTTATAAAACTGCTTGCCTGGTTAACATCTTTTTCTAGGAGGGAGACTAAATTCTGCCAGTGCGTCTATTACTCTATTTTGGCCAGATACAAATATCTTAATTTCCAAGTTATTGTTACAAACCAGCAGTGCTCCATTAATTTTGTACAGTGTTGTACCTGTAAGATGATTCTGCTCTCAGTCAATCAACAATTCGCACACAAAAAAATTTGAGAACATTTCTAGGGGCTAGACTCCAGGTATACTGAGGTAATCCACTGATCAGTGAGACAATGAACAATTATTCATTTGTTTAACTTTTCCCTGGTCATTCATTAGTTAAACATGGATTAATCATTAACTATGCCTAACTCCAAGTTAGATATTGGCAATACAAGGAAAACAAGCTGCTGTCCCTTCCCTGAAGGATTTCTAGGCATAGTAGGTTTTAACTGGAAAGGGAGTAGAAGTAGCTTTTAAAATGAATTAATCGGTGTTTTCCTCCTCAGCACCTATTGTCATTTCTCCCATAATTCTTCATACCCTAAGTTTTATAACTTGGTTATAATATGGCACAACATTAACTTATTATTTTGATAACAATAATGCAGCTATCAGTTTCATTATATACGTTTTAATCACCTTCCCCTCGGGACAACTTTTTCCCCTCAGGACAACCCTGTGACGTATTACTGTTCTGAGTTTACAGAGGACAAAACTTTTATAGTAGCTTAGAGAGTCATCTGTGCAAAGTCACAGAAACTAAGTGAATGATCTGGGACTGGATTTAATCCAGATCTGGCTGACTTTGGACAACTTGTTCTGCCAGAAACGAGCAGAAAAGGCTTGGTCCAAGATTTCTGCTTCTGCTTTGAATCCTGCAGCAGTGGGGGCAGGTCATACTGCGGGTGGTAAATAAACACTTCCAAAAGAATGAAGAGAAAAAGAAACAATTGACAGAGTAAAAAGGCAACCTATGGAATGGGAGAAATGATTGCTAATCATATATCTGACAAAGGGTTAATATTCAGAGTATATAAGTAACTAACTCCTTCAACAAACAAATAGCCTTATTAAAAAATGGGCAATGGATTTCAATACACATTTCTCCAAAGTAGATATACAAACACATAAAAGATGTTCAATATCATTAATTATTAGAGAAATGCAGATCAAAACTACAATGATATATCACTTCATACTCACTGGGATGGCTACTATACACACATATGTATATATGTGCACTTATGTATGTATGCACATGTACACATATATATATATATGTGTGTATGTATATATATATGTGTGTATAAAACACCAGAAAACAATAAGCATTAGTGAGGAGTGGAATAATTGGAACCCTTGTGCATTGCTGGTGGGAATATAAGATTGTACAGCCACTAAGGAAACCAGTATGAAAGTTTTTCAAAAGGTAAAAATAGAATGACCAAAAATTCAATAATCACACTTCCGGATTTAATACAAAGGAACTAAAAGCAGGATTTCAAAGATATATTTGACAGCCATGTCATTGTAGCATTATTCATGATAGCTGAGAAGTGGAAGCAACCCAAATGTCCATCAGGGGATGAATGGATAAAGAAAATGTGGTATATGCATAGAGTGGAATATTATTCAGCCTTAAAAAAGGAGGGAATCCTATGGCATGCTACAACATGGATAAATTTGTAGGACATTATGCTAAGTGAAATACGTCAGTTACGAAAAAAGAGAAATACTGTATGATTCTACCTATATGAAGTATCTGAAGTAGTTAAATTCATAGAAACAGAAATTGGATGATGGTTGCCAGGGGCTGGAGGTAGGGAGCAATAGGGACAGTTTCTCAGTAGATAGAGTTTTAGTTTTGTAAGATGAAAAAATTCTAGAGATCTGTTACATAACACGATGAATACCGTGAACACTTCTGAACTGCACTTAACAATAGTTAAATGGTTAAATCTGATTTTTAACGCACTGAAAAAAATCTTATTTTAAAGAATGAAGAGGAGGGTAGCCCCATGGTGAGCTCTTCAGGTCCATATTTGTTTAGCTAAACAAATAAAACCCTAGCCTTGCCATCTGTTATCCAACACAGCAACCTCAGGAATCCCCAACCTTCCTTTCCGCACATTAGAAATGGCCTCTAGGCTCCACCAGATGTCGCTCACGCTGAGGGCGGTCCTCGCCCCGCCCACCACCGAGTTTCTTCCAATCGCGGCCCTGGCCCCGCCCCTGCTCGAGCCTCTTTCCTGTATCCGGGCCTAGGTGGCCTGGCTCTGAAACTTAGCGAAAAGCATGGAGGTCCACGCCGGGCTGCAGTCCACCCCGACCTCTTCCCCATCCTCCCAGGATGGCTCCAGGGCCTCGGTGTCCAAAGAGCTGCTGTCGGCAGGGAGCGGCGGCCGCGGAGGTACCGGGCGGGTGGCAGCAGCGTGGCGCGCGCACGTGCGGCTGGGGGCGCGGGCCCAAGCAGTCGGGGAGGAGGTGGGGGCTCCTTGCTTAGGCCCCGCACCCCCAAGTGGAGCCCTAGGGGGTGAATACAGGGCTCCGGCGTGCCAGCTACCAAGGTGTTGGGGGATGGAGAGGAGCTGGGCTGCGGGGCTGGGGTTGGTTCTTATATTCCGCACAGTAGTGACCCCTCTCTCTTTGCCGAGCCCCCAGCAAGACACTTCCCCTAAAGGGGAAGGTCTTAGGGCCTGCCGTTCAGGTCCAAGCCGTCGGCTGGTCTGGGGAGCAGATAACTTATGGCTTCCCACACCCCCACCCGCTGTCCCCGCCTCTCCATGCTCACTGAACCAGCCCTTAGTAAGTAGAGAGAGACGTGGGTCCAGGGAATTCACTCACCACAATAGAGAATTTTAAAAGCATGGGTTCGAATACCAGCTCCACAAGTAATTAGCAGTGGCTGACTTTAGGAGAGTTACTTACTTTCTCTACCTCCCAGTTTTCACATTTAGAAAATAGAGGTAGTAGTACCTATGAATTTTTGTGAGGAGAATGTGGTTAAGGTCTTGTGTATATTCTCAGTAAATATTAGCTTCAGGAAATGATTCTGTGAGAACCCAGGGCATCCGAAGGAGTTACAATAATAATAGCCAAAACTTATGTAGTGCCAACTATGCCTCAGGAATTAACTAATTTAATCCTCACAACAACCCTGTGCAGAAGGTTGTTACCTCCATTTTATAGATGAGGAAACGGAGTCTTGGTGTATCCTACAGATAAGTAACTTGCCAGGGATCACGTGGCTGGAAAGTACCAAAACTGGGATTTGAATCCAGTCTGACTCCTGAGTCCAAGCTCTTTACACTAATCCAATTACGAGGCCTGCAGTAGTAAGCAACGAATGTTTGTTGAGCTCTGCTTTGTGGGTGAACAGGATTTTGGTACCAGAGTGAGGAGATTGTACAGGTGCTGGAAACAGCATGTACAAAGCCTTGAGTTTTGAAAGGCAAGTCCTGTTCTCTGAGCTCTGATAAGATAGATAGTTGAATTGATTTGAGGAGTAGTGAATGGTGAGGCTGAGTAGATAGTGGGGGGACAAAATTTCTCCAAAGGGCTCTTTTGTCGAGATTGGACATCTTTTCTGAAGGGGAAGTAACCAGGCAGGTATATTTTACAGATGAAGAAACAAATCCTCAATGAGGTTAGATAATTTGCCCAATATAATGCAGTTAGTAACCATTTCTGGCTTCGCTTAACCATTCTGTCCTGCTTCCTCCATTATGTCATTGTGGACCCACGTGTTTCGCTGATGGATTTCTGATCCAGGAAGGTACAGTTTAGTGTGCACTTATTACTCAACATTGGTGACACAGAGCTGTATGAGACAGGCGGTGAAAGGGGAGATAGATGTGCTAAAAGAACTAAAATGTTGTGCTGGAAATTGGGGTCCTTCATTTAAAAAAAAAAATCTTAGGAAATGTGGGATTGTCAAGATTTGAGAGTGGTCATGAAAAGTTAGTCACTGAAATGCATGCATATATTTTCAGGTATATGGGACAGGTTGCTCATCAACTCCAAGCCAAATTCCAGAAAGAATTCCACTCTTCAAACAGTTCGGATAGATTGGAGTCCCTGTAAGTATCCTTCCTTCTCTCTCTCTTTCTTTCTCAAGCACTTTCTCTGATATTAAATTCTGCCTAATTAAGCACTTATTTGATGGGACAGTCTCTGCCTTCCTGGTCATATATTAACCTTTAGAGTAAAGTCTTACTTGGGATTTACATTATGGAGTCTACGCCCGAGAGTAGAATTTCTTACATTACTCACCTGTTATAAGACAGTAACTTTTCCCAGAAAAATTCCCTGTGGGATGAATTTTTGGAAATCAAAAATAATTATTGGTAATCTTCATGGGAAACTCTTAGAGGCTGCTGAGCCCAAATTTATTATACAAGTATGAGAAAATATCACCATGTCCCATTAAATTGGATACAATTACTTAAATGGTAAATGTTCCTGATAATACGACATAACAGGACCAATTCTGTGCATTACTCTATAATATTGCTGTACTGCTCACTCATAAATATGGACTTCTTGGATCTGTGGGTTTATAATTTTTATCAAATTTAGGAACTTTTTTGTCATTTCTTTTCTTCAGATATTTTTTCTTTCCCCCCTTTCCTCTTACCTTTCCTGCAGGGACTCAAATTACATATAATTTTGCTTCTTGAAATTGTTCCACAGCTCCCAGATATATGGTTTTTTTGTTTTTCAGTCTTATTCGTGTGTTTTATTTTGGGTAGTTTCTATTGCTGTGTCCTCAAGTTCACTAATCTTTTCTTCTCTATTGTCTAATCTGCTGTTTAACCCCATCTGGTTAATTTTGCAAGTCCGATATTATAGTTTCCATCTCTAAAAATTCAAGTCTTTTACTATATCTTTCATTTCTTTGTTTGTTGTGTTATTGCCTTTCTCTGCTTTCTTGACTATGTAGTGTATATTTATAACAGCTACTTTAACATTCTATCATTGTAATTTCTGGATTTCTACTGATTTTTTTAACTTTATGGATTATATTTTCTGCTTATTTGCATGCTTGGTAATTTTTATTGAATGCTGGACATTTTGAATTTTATGTTGTCATATGCTGAATTTCGTTTTATTCTGTTTGGAAGAACTACAGCTGGCCTAGCTTCACAGGTTTAGCATGTCCTTTTCCAGGGAACTACAGAAATATTTGACCTCTCAGAATCGTGATTCATGCCACACATGTAGGTCTTCATTTTGCTCCACATGATCCAGTAGTTAAAAACAAAAGCAGAACAAAATCTAGCCTCATCCTCCATCTGAGGTAATAGATTTAAATCTGCAGACACAGATGTACTTTTTTTTTAATCAGTAATTTCTCTTTCTATCTGAAGGGACATGAGAGCTCACATTTATTTACTATTTAGTATGTGCCAGATATTGTGTGGGGCTTTGTATATATGCGACCTCATTTATGCCTTCCAACAGGGATAAATTTTACAATTAAAGGCCATTTCTTGACCTTTACCACTATTTTTTTTTTCTTCTTCCATACTCCGGACATTTTAGTCATCAGTGGTGTAGCTGTATCAGTGACTTAACATTTCGACAGTTGGTTATGTACTAGGTCTTTTGAAAGAGAAAAAAATTATTATGCTTTGTTTTTTTTGACTCCCCTGTACTTAGCACAGTGCCTGGCAGTTATCACCCCTGTTTTACAAATGAGGAAATTAAGGTTTCGAGTGGTTAAATTAAATGCATTAGTTAGGATTCCTGTGGTTGTAAATAACTGAAACCCAGCTCAGATTGCCTTAAGCAAAAAAAAAAAAAAAAAAAAAAAGAGGGTGGGAGAGAAAGAAATAGTAAAGAAAAGAAATTTTGTTGGCCTATGTTAGTAGGGGCAAAAAAAGCCCAGTGAATTCAGGTACGTCTGCATCCAGGTATTCAGTGTTATCAGGGGTCTGCTGCTCTACATCTCCCAGCTCTTCTTTCCTAGCTGTTGGCTTAATCTAGAGCAGGCTCTTCCCCGACATGTGGCAAGTCGGCCAGATTTCAGAAGCTCCAGGCTTACATACAGCAGCTAGCTCAGTTACTCATTTGGAAAGGTTTCCTTTCTCAACAGTTCAAACCCTGTCCCAGGGCTATCTCTTATTAGCCCAAGTAGATTATGGTGTCACGGTGTCACGGTGTCACTGTGTGTACCACTGAACCAAATCACAATGACCAAGGTTGTGAAACATGTAGGCATGCACAGGTTGAGAGATAAGAGTGGCTAAGAGTGACAGTTTAAGAGGAAAGTCAGGATTACGCTCTTAGAAGAAAGGGGAACATGCTGGACAGGTGAAAACAACCCCTACTTAATTAACATGCCCGGGGTATTTCAGATAGTATGAGGTGGAACTAAGATCCTATTAATAACCTTGTCACTCTGTCCCCACAGCTTGGTGCACTTAGCTATGGAGTCATACTGCCTCCTTATTAAGTAACTGTTGGTTGAATGCCAGCCTTTTTGGAGGTTACAGTTCTGGGCATATACGAAAAACACAAATAAAACATTGAAAAATAATTAATTGCTGAGAAATAAGTCCTACTGCTTGTAAGAATGCAGAAAAGGATGAAGGTTTTTAAAATGGAAGGAATTTGAAAGACTTTTAAATCATAAATGTTGTTATTATTACTATTAAATTCAAATGCATTTTATAGGAAATTCTAGATTTAAAAATTTTAAGTTTGGCTAAATACTGAATTTCGATAAACTATACTTTATCTCCTTAGTATTGGACCAAGTACAGACCTTCCTCCCACAGCTGGCTCAGGCAAATGAAAAGCTAAGAAAAGAAATGGCAGCTGCACCACCTGGTCGTTTCAATATTGAAAATATCGATGAGACACTTGGAAAAGTTATACAAATGGTAACTAGGCTTTGTTTTCACTTCATAGACTAAAATTACCAGTGTGCCTTGTCACCTAAAAAGAGAATCTTTCTTTTAGTTCCATGATCATTCATTTTTCTTATATTTGTTATCTTGAAGCATTAATTTACTAAATGTCCTACCTGGACTTTTTTTCCCCATCCAAGGCCCAAAGAGGTAATCAATCACAGTCTGATGCATTGAGATGCTAATGTTGATGATGTGTTTAACGGAGTGCATTGTCTCACAAAATAAATGTACACAAGCCTCATGTGAAAATTGCCTCTCAAGTTAGGCTCATATCTTATTTCTGCACTGGAGTTCCTTTATTCGTGGGCAGAGCTGACACCATTGTTAATGATATCTATCCAATTCACCAGCAAATCTGGGCCGCCCTACCTCTACAGTATATCCCAAATCCAGCCACTTGGCGTGACCTCCACCGCTGCCACACTTGGTCCAAGTAATTATGGTCTCCCCTTTGGGCTGTCGCAGTAATTTCCCACCAAGTCTCCCTGCTGCCACCCTTTCTTCCTCAGAGTCTATTTTTCACATTGCGTGGCCCAGTTTGGGAGCCAGTGGCTTCCCATCACATTTCTGATAAATTCAAAGTCCTTCAAGGGCCCATGTGATCCCGCCTCCAGCTCTGTCTCTGACCTTATTTCCTGCCCAGTCCCCTCATCGACTGCATTCTAATTTAGTCCCTCACTCCAGGCCTTTTCCTCTTTGCAGAATGTTCTTCCCCAGATTTCTGCATCTCGACTTCTATCTCTTACCTCATCAAGAGGCCTTTTCCTGTGGCCCTTTCATTACCTTATCCTGCTTTATTTGTTTATTTTATTTTAATGACCCTACACTATGCTTTATATGTAATCATTTATTGGCTTTCTTTCCCAACGTGAGCAGACGTCAGCAAACATTTTCTGTAAGGAGCCAGATCGTGAAGACTTTAGGCTTTGAGAACCAGACTGTTTGCTGTCGTGACTGCTCGTTCTGCCATGTTGCATGAGAGTAGCTGTAGACAATACTTAATAGGCAAGTTTTATATACCTTATTTATGGACACTGAAATTTGAATTTCATATAATTCAAATGTTTGACGAAATATTCTTTTGATTTTTTCCTACCACTTAAAAATATAAAAACTATTCTTAGCTCATAAGCTAAACAAAGATAAGACAGGCTGGGTTTGGCTGGCAGGACATAATTTGCCAAACCCTGCTCAAAAACAAGTTCTGTAAAGGCAAGGGTTTTGTTGTTGAGTCTCTATACCTAGTGTGATGCCCGGTTCATGTCAACATTTGTTGAATGAATGTTGTTGATCGTATTCAGGATACATGTAATTGGGTTGTAGGGGACTTCTTAGACTTGTAGCAAATGTACATCATTATGGTGGACCCTGGCGCCTAAAAGAATCAAAGTGCCATATGTAGTAAAGACATTCCTTGTCCTTTGTGCTTCAATGTTGTGCTAACTGTTGGTTGTTTCCAATGTTTTCTTATCGTAACTTTTTAGGAAACTGCCCTGAAATAAATTTCCCTCATGGTGTTTCTTGCAGGATGTGGCCTTGTTTGAGATGGATCAGTCTGATTCAAAAGAAGAGGATAGTTCAGAAGAGAATTCACAAGACACTTCAGAGGATAGTTCGGAATCTGAGGATGAAGATGACAGCACCTCTTCTGAAGTCACCATAGACAACATCAAGCTTCCTCATTCAGAAGATGGAAAAGGCAAGATCGAAGTTTTGGACAGTCCTGCCAGTAAGAAAAAGAAATAGTGAAATAAGTGATCTAAGAGACAGGTGATATATGCCTGTAAATTCCGTGAAAAAGAATGTGGCTTGCTGGGTATTTTGCATTTCAGGTAATATCTATGGTGCTTTTATGTCAGTCATATTGGATGTATTTTGTTTCTCGGAGAAATAGAAGCTGGCTTTTAAAGAGTTGGAAGAGATAACATATGGGGATCTGCTAAGAGCAGACTGTCTTCGATTTTATTATGCTAAGGAGATTTAGTTTAGAAAGCTTACTTTTACGTATGATGATGAGTGTATTTGCTGGCATCGTAGCCATCGTCTTCCTTCATCTTAGACCTCAGACATGTCAAACTTATTTTAAAGGAGAAATACAAGTCACCAGTTTGTTTTTGTTTTAAATTATCCTCTTGCATAAAACCTAGGTGGTTTTTTTTAGGTTATTATAGCATCAGACGTATTCATTAGCATCAGAATGAATTTCATGAAGGAGAATTTTTTTACAGTAAAGGGTTACTTAGGTTTAGCTGCCCTCGGGCACATCTCCTTTTTATTTAACCATAGAAAATGCTCCTTTCCAGTTTGAGCTGGAAAACTGGTGCTCTGTGGGTTTAATCACTGTTGGTGACTCTACAGCCACTCAGTGGATGTAGAATTTACTGGTTGGAAAATTTCATAGTATTTTTGTTGTTGTTGTTTTTTTTCATAAAACAATTTTTTCCTCTCTGCTATTAGAACTATTCTACACAGTTGCCCACAGTTTGAAACCTGTCAAATGTAGAAAATAGGGACACTACAGGAAAAATAGGGCACAAAACAAAAAAGGTAAGATTCAGACCTTATTAAACCTGTTTCAGATCTCATCTGCCATGAGACTGGCTTTGCTCAGGATACGGGCCTGAGAAGTTAAAGGACTGTCTCCAAGTGGGTTGAGCTGATGAAATTTTTGTCCCCTAATGTTTTAGGGCTCTTTTGGAACTATTTTTCCCACTTCACATTAGCCTGAGACATCTTGTAAATACTCTACAGATAATTCTCAAGGTTCTTTTTGGTACTTCCCATGGGAAATTGGAACCAGGTCTCCCAGTCTGTGCCCAGCTAAATGGAGGAAGAAATGAACACATCTGGGAACCAGATTTCTCAGCTGGAAAGGGTATTAATGACACCAGACACAACTGTGATGAATCATTGGCGTAAATATTGAAAGATTGTCTTCTACCAGATAATTTATTGATGCTGCACTGTGGGAAGAATTGCATTTGTCTGGTTCACTACTTAGCATGGTACACGGTACACAGGAGGCACTGAGTATTGTTAATAAGTGAATTAACAAGTACGTGAGGGTATACAGGACATTTTATGCTGGTAGGTGGCGCCAGGCAGGAGAATATGAACATATAACTACAGGAAATACATATCCATGTAGAACTGACTGCCTGATCAGTGAAAGAGGCTAATCAGTTTAGAAATATATACTAGTATGTAGAATTTTAATATTTTTCTTTTGCCTTGGCTATCTCATATAGTAGAACTGGGCTTCTTCCTATGCAGTTAAGGAAGTCAACCAAATTTAGGTTCTCTGGACATTCTTATAACAGAAAAAACAAAAACATAAAAACTATATGATAAGGATATCATTTTAAATAAATAAGTATAAAATAGAATAATTATTTAATGTGCAATGTCAGGACTGGTGAGCTATTTTAAAGCAAGGTTAATGTCTAGCCTCATGCCATGTACTGAGATAAATTATATATAGATTAAAGATTTAAATATAAAGAAATAAAATTATGAGTTCCATGCTAAAATGGTGAATATTTAAAATGTAATTGGGCAAAAGCTTTTGTTAAAAGCAGGACATTAAAGCCTGAAATTGCAAAGGAAATAGCAGAAAATTCATCTATATAATGTTAAAAACTAGTAGGTGACAGGGAAATTCAAAGGGCAAGAGACAAACAGGAAAATATTTGCAGTATAAGACTGAGTGCTATTAGTATATAAAGGGCTCTTAAAAATTAGTAAAAACAACAACTAATAGTGAAAAGGCTATAAGACGTGAACAAGTAATTAACAGGAAAAAAAGGCTTATCCCCATTTATCAAAGAAATGCAAATGAAACCAAGATTGTATTTTTTAACCTATCAAATTGGCAGATGAAACAATAGCTAGTATTTACCAGTTCCTTTCTGCGAGTCAGCCACTATTCTAAGTGTGTTACATTTAAGAGTTACTACCACTCATATAAAAATTCATCAAGTTGTACAATATTTGTGCACTTCACTGTATGTATGTTATACATTAATTAAGAAGCTGTTTTGTGTGTGAGCAGTGTGCTGTACGGTCTGTTGGAAACTGAACCCCTTTTGTGCTTTGAGTGGTCTGACCAGCGTTTTCTCCGCCTGATGCTGAGGTGTGAGATGATGGCAGCCCTTTGGAGAACGTTTTTTGATGAGATGTTCTCTTCAGACTTGTGGGGTGTTATATCTCCTATGGCTCTGTGACAGTTATAAATCAGAAAATCAGGTAGAGTGGTCTTTGGAGCAAAAATTTTATGAATGAACCTGCCATCTGTTCTCATAGTTTAATTGCGCTTCAGATATGGTACTTACACAAAAAAATGCCTCGCAGAGTAGTTTGTATTCTTGTGCCTGTATCTACTACTACAGTAGGAAAGACAAGAAAAAAGGTTGAGTCTTACGTTCATTTGTATTTCCCTCAGTGCCTAGAATAGTGCCTTTCATTCGGTTGGAATGTACAATAAATATTCATTAAACTAATTTTTCTCTTTATGTCAATAAAGTAACTTATCTTAAACATGAGTGGTTTGCAATGCAGAAGAAAAAAGGGTGAATGTGGTGGGTAGACTTTTCCTGCAAATTTAACGTTGGAATTTTTGTGGTTGACTCCCCACCATCCATTCATGGAAAAAACCCTTTTAATGGTTGTTTTGGGAATGGGCATATGGGCATGGACCTTCCCAATGAGGCAGGAGCAAAGTCTTCTTAGTAGACTTTTGGACGGGAAAGTATTTCTCATTCCTAAAAAGGAGGCTTATGAAAAGATGGATCCTTTGTCCTTTCGAAAGAAAGGACTAGATATACTGGATATGATTCCTGGAACTCCTATCTAGTGACCATCAGTGAAGCCAACTCTGAAGGGTACAGTCAGCAAGCACATCAGACGTAGCAGAGAGAAGCAAGAGCATCATTGAGTCACTGCATCAAATAACTGTATGGTTGAACTTCTTGTTTTGTGACAGTAATTTCCCTATTAAAAAAAAAAGACTCGCCTTATGAGATATTCTGCTTATACCCACTTCATAGGTGAGAAAACTGGAATGGAGATAGCAAATTGTCTAAGGCCTCAAAAGAACTAAGTGGTGGAGCCAAGTTTTAAGTTTAGTCAACTACACCTTATCATCATGGGCCTACTGGTCACTGTGCTATGAGCACAGGCTCTGATGCTATTTGGGTCATAGCCCAGCCCAGCCACTTATCTTAGTTTCTTTTATCTGTAAAATGGTTTTAACAATACTTCCCTCATGGTGTTTTGGTAAGAAATTAATGAGTTAATACACATCATGTGTTTACAACAGCCTTCAGTAAATGTGAGGTATTATGATGCTATAAGAATACACAGTGGTTGCGATAATTTGGGGAAACTTGGTAAGATTATAGATTGCTATATCCTTTGACTCAGGTATTCCATGTCTAGGAATTTATCCAATTAAGTATGGCTTTGTTCACAAATTTCTATGTAAGATTTATTGCAACATTTAAAATAGCAAAAAGCATATCTAAATATCCAATAATAGAAAGCGAGTTGAATTAAAACCATTGAACATATGCAAGGTATGTTTATTGACATAGAAAGATACAGGCTGTTATTTGAAAAAAGCAGGTAACAAAGTCATGTACAGTATTCTGTAAAAAAGTATGCATATAAAAGACAAAGTGAGTGCTATTAGTATATAAAAAAAAGTCTGGAATAATATCAAATACCTGGTTATTTCTGTGTGGATAGTTATGGCTGAGTCTTACCTTCCTGTTTTATATATTTTTACATAATTAGGTATTATTTAATCATTTAAAAATTTGCTTGGGTATTATTTGTAAAGTAGTAGTAATGATAATGATCCATCCTACTCATCATGTCTCATGTCTGATAATCTCCTAGCCCAGATTTCCTTCAACAGCTATTATTTTGGAGGGCTGCTTTGGAGGAAACAAAGTTGGTTCCTCACCCTGTCTCTCGCCACTTCCACGAAAGCTCTTGCAGATAATGGCCATTCTGCTTAGTTTTTTTTAGTTTGACACATATTTAGTGTGTACCTACTATTTACTACCCAGGCCGTGATTTAGGCCTTGGCAATCAAAGCTATCTCAGCTTGATCAAGACCACCACCTTCATCGCTTGAGTGAACTGTTCTGCCACTTACCAGCTGTGTGATTTGGGCAGGTGACTTAACCTCTTTCATTTGAAAGTAAATAGAGTTCTTCCTACCTGTTAGGTACTGGAGATAAAGCATTGAACAAAAGAAGTACCTGTTCACGAAGCTTACATTTTAATGGGAAGAGATCGATGATAAATATATGCCAGGTTGGGATAAGCGCTGTGAAACTAATACAGGATAAGGAGAATAAAGTATGACAGGTGAGATGAAGTATGAATGTAGAAACGTGCTGTTTTAGAATGAATAGCCAGGGAATGTATCTACAGATGATATTTGAGGAGATACCTGAAGAAAGTCACGAAGCTTACATTTTAATGGGAAGAGATCGATGATAAATATATGCCAGGTTGTGATAAGTGCTGTGAAACTAATACAGGATAAGGAGAATAAAGTATGACAGGTGAGATGAAGTATGAATGTAGAAACGTGCTGTTTTAGAATGAATAGCCAGGGAATGTATCTACAGATGATATTTGAGGAGATACCTGAAAATGAGGCAGGCAGCCAGGAGGTGATGTGTGTGGGGTTTCGGGAAGAGGCAGTGGTGTGCTGGTGCTGTCTGGCACGTCTTCCAATTGTGCACCTCTCTTCCCAACTCTATGTTTAGTGAAGTCAAATTGATAGATTGAAATCAGCCTTGATAAGAGCATTTATACACACAAATCAGCAAGTACTACAATCCCCTCCCCCCAACACACACACACCCAGAGAGCCATTTGTTAACTATTACACCAGTGGGAAGAGGGAGCAGTAAGTGCAAAGGCCCCGAGGTGTGTTTGAGGAACATCAAGACAGAAAGAGAGGGAAGTTGATAGGAGATGAGGTAGCCAGGAGCAAGAACGATAGGACTCTGCAGGCCATGGTAAGTACACTGGACTTTCTTTTAAGCAACATAGGGGCCTCTGGAAGGTTTTGAGCAGAGGAGTGACACCATCTGACTTAAGCTTCGAACATAACCACACAGAGAGGAATCAAGAAGACTAGTTGGGAGGTTTCAGTAATAACGAGACGTGCTGGCTTGGTAGTGCTGGAGGTTTTAAGATGGTCACCTCAATAGATTCATTTTTTTTTCAGATGTGAAGATTAAATAGGATAGTATTTTAAAAATGCTTAGCATAGTGTCTAGCACACAGGTCATTAATGAATGATAGCTGTTACTATTATTGACGGAATGCTAATCCCGAGGATGGGGGAGCGGTGCTCACATCTAGTTTAGAAGGCAAATCATTTCAAAACCAAGTGATAAGTGCTATGTTCCAGACAATTGGGGGCGCAGAGGAGAGACACTTAAAGCAAGTTGAGGGTAGGAAAAGCCAGGAGAGGTGTTTGAGCAAAAGGGGACGCTTTAGCAAAGGCCTGGGGAAACGGAATGAGAAGAAATGTAGCTGCACAAAGTGTCGACACCTCCCGATCTGGTGAAAGATCACAGCTTTATCCTTTAGCAAAACAATCAGTGATCTAAAGGAACGGTAATACTTTACTCAGTGTATTAATTAAATCACCTAGTAGGCTGTAGGTCATTATGTTCCAACTCAGATTCACGGGTACTTTTATGAATTCCATGGAGCCTTTGATTTTGATTAACAGTCAGACATAACGACTGAAGCTGGTGAGAACTCTGGAACTCGAAATGGAAAAAGGAGTTTTAAACCTGATGCCCCAGCGTGGCTTCAGGATGTCTGTGAATCCTTTGAAGGTATTTGCAGAATTATGTGTGTGCAATGAATTTGAGGAGTAGAAGTAGAACAGCGGGGTTCTATTAGCTTTTATTTTTATCAGATTTTCAAAAGAGGTTTATGGCCTGAAGAGGATTAAACACACTACTACTGAAATATTAGAGGATAAAATCAATCCATAAGAAAAGGTATGTTTTTGCTGGCCATTTCATCTGTCATTAAAATATTTGGTAAAGTGATATTTCAAATCACATGAAATCAGTTAAAACACATTTAAAAGTGGTTCCTTTATAATAAGACTATTGTTGTTTTATTCAAATATGATTTGTCAGTTTGGACCAGATAATATTCCAACTGAGAATTCCAGCTGTGCCAATCTCTGATGGTAAATGAGCTACAGCATAATAAAAAATGCCTACAGGGCAAATTTACTCTATTGACCATGCCAGGATCACCTGAATGTTTTCTGCCTCTGATTTTGTTGTTGTCGATCATTGATATTAATTTCCTACATCCCTCTGATAAGCTGCTGAGTCCTCGAAGTAACAACTACGCCGGAAGGGCTTCTTCAACACCCACAAGATAGGAATGTTAGCAGAAATTTTACTTTGAAAGGAGGAATAATAGAAATTAATTGCTCTGAGCATCTTCTAGAGACTGTGATTCAGGAACTCACCTAGTCACACTTGGATGGTGATAATTTACCCACTTAATTTTTTTTTTTGTCTGACAAAAGGCAATTTTGCAAGTACGGTATGGGTTGTAATGATTCCTATTTCTTGAGTGCAGAGGGGACAGCAATTTTTTCCCCGTTTTATAGATTCCAAACCTAGGCTCTGAGATGTTAAGTAACTTAACTTGCCTAATATCACACAGCCAGTGAGCAGTAAAACCAGTAGATAGAAAACGGAAAACAAGATGGATAAAGGATGAGTGAGCCTCAGAAAGGAAAGCAACCCTTTTCCTTCATTTTTCATTGCATGGCATTTTTCAGGGCTGCTGTGTTGGGTACTGTGTCAGGACAATGGATGAGAACAAGAGTATAGGAATCGACTACTGAATATGGTTTCAGGGAAATGAATTAATTCATCTAGTTAATATACGTCAATATATTGTTTAAATAGTGACAGAGAAACAGTTAACTTCTGTGAATATTTACCACGAACAAAACACAGTACAAGGTGCTTTACTTAGGTTATTGCATTGAATTTTCATCACAGGGCCCCTGAGGGAGGCATTACTGTCCCCATTTCACATTTAAAGAAGCTGAGGCTCAGAGAAGTTGCATAAGTTTCCTAAAGTCACACAGATGGTAAGATGGTATGATAGGAACCAAGATCGGCCTCCAAAAGCTATTTATGTTGTACTATATCATACTGTAAAATTTACTTTAAAAGCTATTGACTAGAATTTAAACTCTTTGGGGCCAGAGATCATGACAATAAATTTTGTATACTCCTCAGGACATAATATCATACCTCATACCATAATAAGTACTTGAGAACTGTTTATGGGTTGGTTACCCATCACAGTGGGTTGAAAAATAGAACATCAAAGGCACAAAGATGGACCTTACATCCACATATAAAAAAAGGAACTTCCTTCATGATCCTTATAGGATCTACTGTTCCTTGACAGAAAAATTATAAAAAAATCTTAACCCAAATGTATGGTTCAGAGGTTAAAACCTGTACGTATTATCCAAAGTTTCCCCAAAAGGCACCTTGTGCATTATAACTGCATGATATTGACGGCTTCAAGAGAAACAGCCATGACTAGATTAGTTTTGGTGGGGAAAAAAGCAGCTTGGCATTTTAGAAATATGTGTGATATACAACGTAGTCAAAAACCAACAAGCGGAAGTCAAGGTATAAAAGGTGTATTGCTCAGGTATGTGTGTAAATGCTTAGACGTGTGACCTGACCGTCTTCATGGTCCATGTGTGTCCTTTTTGGCTCATGGCTGATATATCCTTCCTCAGCACACCCAGGCTTCTTGAGTGTGTCCAGACTTGAGAAGCAGCGCCCTCTGCCGAGGGATTCCTGATGATGGCATCGCTCTAGTATTCCAGCGTCACCGTCTTGGTTTTGAGGTATTCATTTAGTGCTTCCTCACCTAGGAAGGAGAAAAACAGGTGGGCATGATGTCACCAGACACAGGTATAGGTACAACGGTCACTAAACATATAGAATATGGCTGGGACCAGTGCTTGTCAAACTTTAAAGTTCATGTGGATCACCCAAGGATCTTATGGAACTGCAGATTCAATCAAGTCTTATGATGGCCCTATGATTATGCATCTTCTGTTTACTGTGTCTCTTGATCACATCATTTCCTCTTGTGCTTGATTTAACCTCGTGTTGTTTTATAACTTTAGTGTAGCCTAACAGCAGAGTTTATAAAGGCTACAGTGGTATACGGTAATACCCTCTTGTGCTTGATTTAACCTTGTGTTGTTTTATAACTTTAGTGTAGCCTAACTGCAGAGTTTATAAAGGCTACAGTGGTACACGGTAATACCTAGGTCTTCACATTCACTCACTGCTCACTCACCGACTCACGCAGTATTGCAAACTCCATTCATGATAAGAACCTTATTCAGGTGTACCATTTTTTATCTTCTATACCACATTTTTACTGTACCTTTTTTATGCTGAGATACACAAATACTACTGTGTTACGATTGCCTACAGTTTTCAGTACTAATCATATTTCGAAGAAAAGGAAAATGCAGTTCTCTTGATTTACATAGTATCTTAGAAACCGGGCAAAATGTAAGTAGGTCTGTTTCTGTTTCTATTCTGAGCTAAGTGCCATCACTGATTTCTACAGCAGTTGAAAGGCATGAACGCCACAGGTGAGGCTAATGAGTATATGATTCCGGAAGTTGAGCTGAAACAGGGGTTGTAACCTTAAATTAGAATCACCGTACAGAGCTTTTAAAAACGATCCTAGGTCACACCCTAGAGCAATTAATACAGCACCTTTGTAATTTTAAAGTTCCTACATGATTCTAAGTCAATGTGCAGCTGGGAACCGCTGGGCTAAGCAAATTTAAAGGTGGGAGAGGAAGAAAGTACTAGGCAAATTCTACTTTTATAATAAAACAGAGGCCTGGAGCTGGTCAATTATACTCTATCGAAAGACAAGTGGAACATGGTTGCCTCGCTTTATAATAGTAATTTCCCTAGGAAAATCTCCCACTGTGTTTTGGGTGCAGAGATGAAAGCCAGAATGAAGACATGAAAAAAAAAAAAGTTAACAAGAGCTACTTTCATTGCTGCAAATACATTGCCAAAAGTCATCAGGAAAGAGAACGTGGAAAAATACTGCCAAATTAACCAAACTTATATTAACAGACTGTAATTTCAGTAAATCACAAATATTTTAATTTTTGAAACAACACTCCAGCCTGTAGGGAGTAAAAACACGGGCTTCACAGCCAGCCTGTCTGGCTTTGAATTCTCTTTGCTAGTGGCTGGCTGTTTGACTTTGGGCAAGATACCCAACTTCTCTGAGATCCTATTTTCCTCATCTATAAAATAAGGATAAATGGTACTTATCTCCCAGGGCGATGGTAAGGATTGCTGGTGCTCACACAGGTGTGCTTGTGCTCACACAGGCAGTTAGAATAGGGCCTGGTTTAGTGTTCAAAGTAAGCTGCTACTTGAAATGGGATAGTGTCACTGCCCATCATGAATCACATTTTGCGTTTTCTACAAACTCGAAATCAGAGTTCCCAGATTCCCAGAATACCCTGCCAGTTCTATCGTTGACGCTGAAAGATCGCCAGGCAGCTCGGGGACAGGATCTGTCCTTGGAGCTAGCTGGTTATTGCCCTCTGTCCACTTTCCTTTCTTGGTTCCACTTAGTCTCATGAATGTCAGGTAGAAAACCAAATCTATTTTAGCCAAAAGATATCGTCAGAGTTTCTTTTTCCTTTTAACATCAATCTTCTTTTAAAAAGAAACACTTGTTCCACACAATTTGTATACTTAGACGTTTAACATTTAAAATATTGTATCATCCTTGTAAACCCAGATTCCCCGCAACTCTCCCCCTTCTCTGCCCCACTCCCAGCTGCCATGTAGGAAATGCCCTTCAAAACAGTACGTGAGTGTTGCATGAAACACAGAGCAGACTCTTCTGTGATGTGGCAACAAAGAGAACGTGTGGTAGAAAAATAAAGCTTACCTAAATCTTTGCCAAAGCCAGATTGTTTAACTCCACCAAAAGGGGCTGCCACATCCGTCTTGTTGTATGTGTTAATAAAAACAGTTCCTGCTTCCAGTTTTTCACTCACGTACATAGCTTTGTTTATGTCTCTTGTAAAAACCCCCGAGGCCAAACCATACTCTGTATTATTTGCTCTCTGCAACACTCCATCGATGTCCCTACAAGATGTGTTTAGGAAGACATAAAATTTCATTAAATGTAAAGCACAACCCTCCCATTTTATGTTCTCATATTTTTCCCCTCTATGCTAGAAACAGGAAAACATTTCTGACAACCTGCTTAAATTTTTATAAATGAAACAGTCCAGGCTTATACCGAAAGAAACTTCCAATGAAATATCACAACGCTAGTATATTTCTCATATGTATAATGCAAGACCTTTAAAAATCTGATCTGAAGTCATCTTTTCAATCTTCTTCATTGGTTCTTCATTTCCTCTCCTCTCCCTTGAGTTCCGCTTCCAGATATCTTCTCAGAGCACAGCCCTAGTTCCCTCCATCTCTTCATATTTTATGCACACAGTTCGGTGCCTCACCCTGATGCCTTCCCAGCTCCCACCAGTGCCACAGCTGAGATGTGAAAATAGTGGCTCAGTGAGAGTCCTCCACAGCCAGTCCACCTTGGTGACCGTGGGCAAATGACTTCATCTCCCCATGCTTTCATTTATTCTTGGGAAAATGGAAATAATAATTATAGCACCTGTCTCATTGTGAAGATTAAATGAGCTAATAGTGTCTGGAACACAGTAAATACTCAAGAAAAGTCAGCAATAACCAGAAAGCACATATTCCTCCAACTCAATATTTTGGTTTGACTCTTCGTGCACTTCTGGTTCACCTCCTAACTAGACTGGAAAACATCTTATTCTTCTTTATACCGTGGTATTGCATTAGCAAATAAGAGTGAATCCAATTAATATGCTAATTAAATAAAAGGAGAGTAAAATAATCCCTTCAATCAGTCTGGTGATTTCCCTGCCTTTTGATGCAGTGTGTATACATGGCCAAGTGGAGACATGAACCTGCTCAGCTCTCAACTGGGTCCAGTTCCAATGTGCCTGTCATAGTGTGACTATCTCACCTTTATGACTGTCATCCTAATGTTTAGAAATGCACGAATTTTCTACAATGTAGTCAGTAGATGCAAGCCAAGTATTTCACCTGGTGCTCAGGTAAAGAAACAGAGTCTATTCCAAAACTAGAGGAAAAATTAGTTGTGCTGAATTTTTGAGAGACAGCTCAAGCTTTAATGTAGAGCCTTTCGAAGGTGTTTTCAAAGGTAATATTGACTACACACGATTTAAACTTGCATGAGAAATCTGGAAACCAACGTGGAGTGAACTGAGGCTCTACTTAAACGCTCACACTTCTTGATGCATCATTGTACATTGTAGGGACCCAGATGTTTATAGACTGGGCTGAGGCAGAGAGATGGTTTTATGCCATTGCCTGTTGAAGACTATTGAGATGACATAGCTTCAGAGTATACCTTGCCACTTTTAGAGTAATAACAAGCATAATGAAAGCAATGGTATCAATAGCACTTTACTTACTTAATCCTTAAAATGACCCAACAAGGTTTTTTTAATAACCCAATTGCACGAATCAAGAAACTAAGGCAAAGAGTGATTAAGTAACTGGTCCAAGTCCACAGAGGTAGTCAGGTGTGGGTTCAGAGTGCAGACACTACCCACTGCACCATCCTGCCTTTGGCTTTCTGTGGCTAATTGCCCAGATCCTTGTCTCTCTCCCCCACTGGATGATAAACTCCTTGAGGACAGGACCTGTGACTTACCTAGGTTTATGTCCCCCAAACCTGGCTTCTAATACCTGCATGTTTAACACAAAGACTGTCCTATGGGGGAATTTATAATGAGGAAATGAGGATAATGGCATCTTTGAATCAGTGTGTCAACAGTTACTCATTATAGCTTAGCATCCCTGCAAGTCTCTTACAGTACATCTATCAAAGGCCACCTTTCTTCCCACCTTCTCATTGGTCGAAGGAAAACTAAAGCCCAAAATTTGTGTATTATACCATGAGAGTATTAAATATTCTTATATGAGTTCAGTTACCATATGGCCTTCTTTGAGATGCTGAATACTTTGGAAAGTGTCACATACTATAACAAACCAGTATCATTTACAGTTGATTATATGGTGATTGTAGACATATCTATAAAAAGTCGAGTACTGGACTTTTGGGAGCATAATCCCCAATGAAGGCAGCACTGTTTCTTTGAGAAAATCAGATTTCATAGATGCTGCCTTTCCTAGGAATGTAAATGTTATTTACCTTGTTCCTGAGACATTTCAAATGTCAACTGTACAAAAGCTAAAATTTAGTCAGCTGAATTTCCATGATGTCAGCCATTAATTTAAGCTAAGAAGCAAAAATATATTATAATCTACAATGGTTAGCACTCATTTCTAATTTTTTAAGTCAATTATTCTTAAGGTAGACAATTACATGGTCATTGATTCTATGCTCTGTATATAGCACAATGACAGAAGAAAAAAAAACTTGTCAGCCAAAACCTATTAAATTGTGCCTAAAGAACATACCCATTTGGAAATTTAGAAATGACCATAATAGGCCCAAAGGATTCCTCTTTGGCAAGATACATGTGGTCTTCCACGTCTGTGAAGACAGTTGGTTCCATAAAAAAGCCTATTTGAAAAACAGAAGAAAAGAACATCAATTACAGGGTTATTTTCAATGAACAGTTCTCTCATTTAATTACATTATATATATATTTTTATTCTGTATAGGTTAGTAAAACCAAAAAGATTTTCATTTTCTATTTAGCATTAGAATTCGAGGTTATTATTATTTTTAATGTGTTTGTTAAAAAATTTTGAACATATATAAAAGTAGAGAATATAGTATAATGAATAGTAAAATAAATATTCACATTTCGCTGTATTTGATTCATTTTTTCCTTGCTGAAATATTTTTTTAAAAACTCCAGAGATCACACCTCTGACCTCCAAGTATTTCGGTACAAATTTGTAAAAAATGGGACATTTTCTTACATGCCACAATACTTTATCACACCTAACAAATGTAATGCTAATTGCTCATTCATAATTTATATTTCAATTTCTGATTGTCTAGAAAGATTGTTTTACAGTTGATCTCTTTGATTCAGGATTCAAATAAGTTCTACACATTGCGTTTGGTTGTTAGATTTCTCAAGTATCCTTTAATCAAGAACATTTCCCACCTTATCCCTGCCCCTTATTTTTCATGCCATTGATGCGTTAAACAGACTGAGTCAATTGTTCTGTAGAATATCGTGCATTTTAGATTTGTCATTGCTTCCTTGGGATGATATTTAATTTGTCCTTTTATCTCCTACATTTCTTGTAAATGGAAACTTTGATCTAAAGGCATGTTTAGTTTCGGATTTAACATTTTTGGCAAGAATACGTCGTAAGTGATACTGTGTGGAGACACATCACATCCAGTTCTCCTGTTTTCACTGATGCTAAGATTGACCAAAGATTCAAGTAGCGACAACTTGACCTTTTTTGTGCTTTTCTCCTTGTGACTGGCAAGCAATTTTGGGGGCGATAGTTTGGTATCTTACAAATACTCAGGTCCCCATCAACCTCACACCTAATAACTTCTGCCTCCCTTGATGATCATCACCTGAATCAGTTATTTCATTCAATTAAGGAGTGCAAAATAGTAATTTTTCTATTCTATCATTTTTTTCTACATTAATTAGCAAGGATTCTTCTGCAAAAGAAAAAGTCTCCTTTACCAGTGACTTGGTTACCCAGAAATTCAGTTCATACAGGAAACATGGGATAAATGTAGAATTTTTTTCCTTCTAATTACCAATTTTCAGAGTAGTGTGTTGTATACAATCTACCTACAACAGTAAAAAATGAATTTTTGCAGTTGTTTGCCTTTTTCTCCTTTTGGGTATCATGACAGTGAGCCATTCACATATTTCAGTAACAGATTCTGCTTTAGACAAGAGGGATGAATCCTTCTCGGTGATGCTGGCTGAGATTAAATCTCATAGTGCCAGGAATCAAGATCACCAGCCCCTAAGTAACACAGTATCCATTACACTTGTTAAGACCTGTCATATCTAGTTGGTTATTTGATTTTCATAGCCTAGTGAACACATTTCATCCCATTTTACATAGAAGGCTCAGAAAAATTGTGTTGTCCAAGGCGCCACACCTTATAAGCTGCCAAACAGGATCTAGAAATTATTCTTCTGACTTTTGAGGCAAGCTGGTACTGCAATGAAAACTGTATTGTAGTAACTATGTATAGTACTCGGTGGGTACTAGACTAGTACTCAGGGGGATCGTTTCATAAATTATATAAATGTCTAATTACTATGCTCTACACCTGAAACTAATATAAAATAATATTGAATGTCAATTGTAATTGAATATAAATAAATAAGCATTAAAGAAAAAAAAAAAAACTGTTACCATCTATTCTAACTTAAGAAGCCAGGTGCTCCTTATACTTCTTTCACAGGTGATCTTACCTGGCCTTCGGACTTGTCTTCCCCCATACACCAAGGTGGCTCCCTCTTTCACTCCAGTTTCACAATATTGCAGAAGCTTTTCCAGATGGGCCTTATGATTTTGAGGCCCGTGATCAGTAGATCTGTCAAGTGGATCACCAATTTTCATCTTTTTAATTTCTTCTACCTGTATGTCACCCAGTTCACAAAACATAATTGACTGTTAATGATAATAATGCATACCCTGGCCTGAGCTTCTACCACATGGTAAGTGTTGTATTAATCTGTTAAAGGAAATATTATCACATAGTCTTCGGAGCAGCACTGGAGGTGGGTGTTTATTATTTCCATCTTACAGATGAAGAAACTAAAGTTTAGAGAGGCAAATGACTTGCCCAAGGGCACCCAACCACCAAATGCTGTCGTTTTCCTGACTTGAAAGCCTAAGCTCTTAACCACAGAGTTCTAACAGGACATAAGCTACATACACTGTTTTAAAATTATCTTGAATGTTAATGCATTAAAATAGTAAACCTGGTGTTCTGGAATTTTTGTTAATACAGCATACATATACCCTTCACAGCAGCAGAACTTCCAAAATAACTGCATTGTTACATTCTTTTCCTCCCCCCACATGTGGCAGACTGCCCTTAGGAAATTCTCATGGTATAGCCATGCCAGAGGAATTGCTAGAATGTTTCGATGAAAAGCCATCTTTATTGAACAACGTTCATCACCGACATGTCTTTCTAATCACTTCTTGTACACCTCAGTTATCTTGATGTATTCCTGCATTTTCTAATGTTAAGTTCAATTCTAGTACAAAGAGAGAATGGGAGTTTCTATGACCCACAGGCCCGTGAATTTGACTTTGAGCCTGACAATAATCTCTCAGTAAGTGCCCAAGAAATAGCTGTTGAATGAATGGCTGAATGAGTATAAATCGCATGTGTACAAAATGTATTTGTTGATGGACTGATAACAGTAAATCCTTGACATTTCTGGTCTCAGTATTTGAAATTTCAACAAGTTATAGTTCTAAAAACCCATGACATGTAGTAATGTAACTATTTACTGAGGCACAAAACTGAATTATAGGAATATTTAGGAGGCAGCTACTGCCCACCATCTGCTTCTCCATTTGACTTCTTTGCTTTTAACTGTCCCTGAGAAAGACGTTTGCTTGTTGGGTGTAGGGGAACTGGCTCTGAAAGCCAGTGGTGTAGGGGAACTGGCTCTGAAAAACGGGCTGGGTGCTGGTTTGCAAATATAAACAAATTCATGATTACTATTACCATCATCATGATATAACATAATAAAATTTAGAGTTAATTTTAGTCACAGAGTTCATCTTACTATTTCTATAAATGGCTTTTAGTCCCATATTTATAGACTCATGACCAACCTATCATCTATCATCTATCTATCTATCTATCTATCTATCTATCTATCTATCTATCCATCTATCTATCCATCCATCCATCCATCCATCTATCTATCCATCCATCCATTTTTCTATCATCTATCGTCTTAGTGGAGGAAATGATATGCTGTCCTGTTACTGTGAATTAAGGATTTGCAAGGATCTAGCAGTATATCTCTTATAGTCAATATAGGGATTTATAAAAACCTCAAATGTTAAGCATCTAATGTACTATAAATGCAGAGCAAGGTATAGGTAGCAACAGCTCTTAAGGTTTTTTTTTTGTTTGTTTATATAGACCTATAACTTTTTACTGTGGAAAATTATAAACACATATAAAAGTAGACAATATAACAAAACTCCACATACCCATCTCCCAACTTCAACAATTACCAACTCATGGCCAATTTATTCCACCACTCACCTCCTGTCCTCCTGGGGAACAAGAGGGAAGCAAAGTCTAGAGGTCATGTAATTTAATGTGTAAATATGTCAGAAAGTAGCTCAAAAAAGATAAGAACTGTGTTGCTTTTTAAAAAAAATACATAACCACAGTACTATTATCACACCTAAAAACTCATTAAATCTCAGAAGTACTTTTCAAGTAAAAGCAGCAATTTCTCTTCAAACCATGGAGCAAATCGAAGGTGCCTTACCACTCTTGTTACGAATTCGTCATGGATGGATTCTTCCACAAACAACCGCCCAGCTGCAATACAGTTCTCTCCTTTGTTGAAAAATACCGCTCCCATGCCCTTCAGCAGCAGAGGAGAAAAGATTGTTAACATCGCTTGGAAAGTCAAGATTGCCACAAAACTGCATGTACCGAGAATTAGATGTTTTTGGAAGACAGCGGACGACACAGCGTGGTCACAAAACAACACAGTCCCTTAGCCTAGTTAGTGACGGCAGCTGCTTGGAGATACTCTTTTGATCTGGTATGTTTTTAGGGCTTTTATTTCTCCTTTTCCCCTCTTGGTCGATGAGCACTTTAGAAAAATGTGTAACAATAAGGACATACCACTAAGGAAAAATTTTGTGTTGCAAGAAAATCCAGATTATTCTATAAATTTAAATGTAATATTTGTATATCAAATTTTGCTTTTAAGATCTCTATAATAGTTTGTACAAATCATGAATGTTTAGAAAGACTCCCCTGCATTTTAAAACACTTTAATGAGACAAATTATAAAGACATTTTAAAAATTAAGTGCTCTGAGTATTCCCAAATATAAGCATAAAGAGAATAGTTTCTATTTATGACTAGACAAAACCAAATCTCACTTTAAGATTTCTGATGAACATGGAGGTGAAATACGTTTTAGAAGTAGGCACCTGTTTAGTTGGATTTGACCCACTCTTACCATTCTCACAGCCTTGTCGAGTTCACAGTCATTGAATATTATAAGTGGGGATTTGCCTCCAAGTTCAAGGGAAACTTTTTTCAAGTTGCTCACTGCACAGCTAGAGAAAAATAAATGGGAAATGAGCATTTAGCCTCTCTGTCTCTCTCTGTCTCTCTCTCTTTCTATTAACCATAAATTATCATTTGACATGGAAAACATAACTGAGCCTCAGAAATATTAAGAAACTTACACAAAGACAAAACATGAATGGTAGAATTTGTGATAATTTTCGAAGCTGGGTGATGAGCACATGCAAGTTCATTATGCCATTCTGTGTGCTTTGTACATATTAGAAAATTTCCATAATAAAAAATTTTGTTTTAAATTCTGTGATAAATGATTAGAGATCCTCATAGTTAAATTCAGATATTTTAGGTATAGGATTTTGGTTACATAAAGGCCTGGAAAGGAATTTAGCTTCAAGCCAGATTACTAGAGCACTGGGAAAAAAAAAAATACAGATTTTTAGAAGTATGTTATTTCCCCCTTCTTACAAAATTATTATTTAAAACATTTTTAAAATTTAAAAAAATGCAGAATGTTGAAAATAATCAATTCCATAGCTCAATGACCATTGTTTTTATTGCTTTGACATGCTTATTTATGGTCTATGTCCAACCATAGCCTTTGCCTTATTTAACATAGTTGGGATCACCCAATAACTACAATGTTATACCTTATTTTTCTTTCCATTTCTGATTTTAATGGCATTTTTCAATGTTATTAAAAATGCTCCATGGACATGACTGCACTGTATTCTATTACGTTGACGTACACTTTAACCACTGCCTTATTTGGGACCTTTAGGTTATTTTTAAAAAAATAATGTTACTGCTTTTCAGAAATTCATGTTATTAAGAATTCAAATTTGTCATTTCTGTGTCTTTTGAGTTTCTTACTTATGCCCCCAAAACAATTTGGGCCACAGCTTTAGTACAGAAAATGTTTTGTGCTGGATTGCTTGAAGCTACCAGTACGTAGGGTGTAGAATTTCAAAATGGGTCTAATTCTATTGATTGTGGGCATTACGCTTTGGAAAGTGTTTTATTATTTTCAAATATGGCAATACCCTGAAGTGATAAGTAGACTTCTCTTCTAAATCTGATGTAGTTTTTCTCCCTCTAAAGCATCCTATTTAAAAAAGCAAAACGCAAACCAAAAACTGGTTTCACAGGATCTGTAGCAAATCAACGTACTAAAATCAATACCTCTTCATGATCTGTTTGCCGATAAGAGTGGAACCAGTGAAACCAAGTTTGCGGATATCAGGATGTTCAGAAAGGCGTTGTCCTGCCACGCCACCTGTAGAATTAGAGAATCAAACATGAATGAAAACATTACTCAGGTTCTTACGGTAAAGGTGGCTTTAAATTCATTGAAGGATATTTCTAAGCTCTCATTTAAACCGTAGTTTTACATTTTCTGTGCTAATTGCAAAACTGTAAATAATATCCTCCATATAATTCTCAGCACCCCCCAAACAATGGGTAAGTCTTGGTTTTTTATCTTCCAAGGTAATTTTTAAAAAGTGAAATGGGCCACCCTAGGGTAGTTATACAACGTTGTACAATTTTTCCCCCCTCCTACTCTTGCGTTATTATATTTCTACTTTAAGATTTTAGGGTGTGGTAAGTATATTTATCCTTAAGTTAACTGTTTGGTAAATTGTATTTAGTTTTGATATAGTTATAATTCAGGAAAAGATTCCAGTGGACAAAGAGCCACTCAGCTATCCCTGTACCGTTCATAAGCATGGCAAAGCTTGTCCTTGGATGGCTTACCTGAGCCTGGAATGATGTTGATTACCCCTTTTGGAAAGCCTGCTCTAACAGAGAGCTCTGCAAATTTCAAGGCAGTCAAGGGCGTGACCTGAGCAGAAGTAGACAGCAAGGACCTTCTTCAGACTCTGTCTTGTCCTTTAGATCAGTACCCAGCTTTCCCTCTATGAATGTACTAGGGTTCGTTTGATTTTTTCTTCTATTTTGACATCATTTTAGACCTACCAGCAAAGTTGCAAAAATAGTACAAAGAATTCCTATATATCTAATGCCCAGATTCCTCAAAAGTTAACGTTTTAGTATGTTTGCTTTATCCTCTTTCGATATACATATATAGACATATATATATGTTTTAAACTCTTTAAGAGTAAGATATAGACCCTTCACCTCTAAAAATGTCTGTGTGCATTTCTTAAAAGCAAAGGATTCTTTTACATAACCATAGATCGAAATCAGTAAATTAACTGATAGAATACCCAATTTCAACTCCTTATTCAGTTTTCACTAATCATTCCAACAATGTGCTTTATAAAAAAAAAAATGAAATCCAAGACCACACCTTGCATTTAGTTGTCATGGCTGTAGACTCCCTTACTTAGGAAGTGTCTGAGTTGTTTTTTTTTATATTTTATTACGTTGCCATTTTTGATAAATAGAGGCCAGTTATTTTGTACAAGGTCTTTTTCTCTAGATTTGTCTGCTGTTTCCTCACGATTAGAGTCAGGTTACGTACTTTTGGCAAGAAAGCTGCGGGAGCGATGCTGAGTTCTAAGTGCATCAGACCAAGAGGAACAGCGATCCCAACACCGGAAGTGTTAATTTTGATGATTTGGTAACTTTGATGATCTGCCAGGTTCCCTCACTATAAGTTACTGTTTTACATTTTGTAATTAATCAATACTTTTAGGGAGATATTTTGAGACTATATAAATACCCAGTTACTCTTCAAACTTCCATTCATCCACTAGTTTTAATATCCATTGATAAGTCCTAGGACTTCATTTAACTAATGAGGTAAAAGGTCTGTATTCAGAAAATTATAAAACATTGAAGAAAGAAATTGAAGAAGATACAAATAAATGGAAACATATACCGTGCTCATGCATAGAAAGAATTAACATCCTTAAAATGGCCATACTACCCAAAGCAATCTATTGATTCAATGTAATCTCTATCAAAACACCAAAGGCATTTTTCACAGAACTAGAACAAATAATCCTAAGATTTATATGCAACCACAAAAGACCCTGGATAGACACCGCCATCTTGAAAAAGGAGAACAAAATTGGAGGCAAATTGGTTGGCTAGGGAACTAGAATAAGAGAGAGACTTTACTATCTACCTCTTAGTATCTTTTGAATTTTGAAAATTTTGAATATATACCTATTTTTTTAATGAAATTGTTTCAAATGAGTAAAATAAGATGGCCGTAGTCACAAGACTTTATAGGTACGCCCAATGAAATTGTATTTTTTTAAGTCCTGAAAGAAGAAATAAAAGGAGAGTTGACTGTAGCAAACTATAAACTCTTCTAGAATAGAGACCAAGTTTTCTCTACAACTTGCATGTCTCAGAATGTCTACTACTGTGCACTGTACGTAGTAAGTGCTCAGCCAGATGTTAAGTTGGCTACCATATTTTTTTCTTGAAAAGCTATTAAAAGACATTTTTGAGAACTCTAACATCTGAATTATTCTTTTTTATTATTTTCTTGTTATTTACAAGTATATAATTTCGCACAGTTGCCACAATTATGTACGTTCTTTTACATGTTTTTCCCTTATCTTCCGTATCTTTACAGTATTTTTTGATAATAAAATTTGAATACTTGCATAATACTTTTTCTTTTGATGTCTCATAATTCACTAATTATTGGGCATTTGGCATTTTGCAAGAATTGAATGGGTTTGTAGAAATACAGTGGATTTCACTGACATACACTATGCTTGCTTCCACCGTCAGTGAAGTTTTAAATTATGCAATTTCCATAGAATACATTGAGTAGCTATTAAAAAAGAATATTTTCTAATGTGAAATGATGCTTATGATATATGAAAAGCTGTCATAATATATGATCCCATTTTTGTTAAAAGACATAACATTTGTAATTGTCTGCCTCTGATTTAAGTTAATAGGAGAGGAGGTGATGTTACACCCAGCCCCTTGCATCTTACCTGTGCTGGCTTGAGCACTAAGGTGTTGCCTGCTGCCAAACAAGCGGCACTCTTCCATGCCAGCATCATCAATGGGTAATTCCAGGGAATAATAATGGCACAGACACTACAGAGGAAGAAAGATGACATCCTTAGTTGTCTCAAACTAACACAAATCACTCAGAGGCTTTTTCTTTGTCTTACCCAAGTGGCTCCTTCTTGGTGAAAGTCAGATTGCGATTTGGACGGGCTTGGTTGATGGGAATTGTAGAACCCTAAAGAACAAAAAAGGTTGATACATATTTTACTCATTTAAATGAGTACATTTAATCTCAGTTTCAAAATAGGTTAGAGATTTGGGGACATTATAGGTGATTTTTAAAAAAAATTTTTCTTTAATCTCAAGGAATCTATTTTCTGTCTGCCTCTCTTGTTTTTTTTTTTTTTTTTAGCTGATATGAAAAGGCAGTGTTTGATTTTTAAGAACTATATCCAAATCAAAAAAGGAACTGCTATTCTTTCTTGAAAGAACTGAGACACAGGAAAATAAACATTATTTTAATTTAGTCACCTCTATTCCAATTTCTTGGCATGGCAGAGAATGTCAATTGCCTGCCCAGTATCTATTCTGCTCTCTGTCCTTAGTAACAGAAACTCTATATTAATAATGAGGAGGTAATGCACCCAGATAAAATACTATGTTTCTCAGTTGATAGGGATGGTCAGTGGAAGATGTAAGCACATGGCATTGGAAGGGGAACGCTCTTTAAAATGGGCTGACTCAGCTCAGACAAGTGTTCTTATACCCTTCCCTTCACTCTCACTTCTTCCTTTTTCCTGCTCAGAATGTTGGTGAAATGTCTGGCACTGTAACAGCTATCATAAGACCATGGGGCAGCCTTGAGAGTGGAGATCACGTGGTACTAAGATCGGCCTGGCAGAGAGAGAAAAGGAACCTTCATCTCACATACTAGACCTGACTATCTGTCTTTGTGCTCCTTGAAAATGAGATAAAAACAAATTTCTTTTTTTGGGTTTTCTATTTACACAGCCAAACTTAACCCCAACTGATTTATGATAATAGTCTTTCACTGAAGCTATAAATTTGTTTTACCATATAAAATATTATTGCTATTACTAATATAAGTAAGTATACAATCTGCATCTAAAACCCTTGGGGCCAAGTGCGTTTGGGATTAGAAAAATAATATAATGCATATACCTTATGTTATATTATCTAGTAGGGTCTAACACACTAATATTTATTTAGTGAAACATATGAATATTTACCCTAAATGAAATAAATAAAGGTTATAGATTCATGTTGGCACCAAATAATTACCAATCAAACAAATCAATTTTCAGGTTTCAGAGCAATTTGGATTCATAATTGAAAATAAAGAAAGACTTGAACCACCATTACTAAATACTTTTATATGTGTGAATTTGTGGGTGAACAATAATAACACTACATTTCTGTGCAAGATCAACTATTTTATAGATTATATCTAATTTTATAGTATATAAATGTTTGCCCTTAATCCTCTTTATATAACTTGCAAGGTATGTATTATTGTGAGCATTTTACAGATGAGGAAAGTCAGGCTCAGAGAGGTAAAAACAACCTTAACAACATCGGCTGATAATTGGCAAAGCTGAGACTTAAAGCCAGGTCTCTCTGACTCTATGTTAATACTGGTGGCAGCAATGTGCCCAAATAAAATATTATGTTTCCCAGTCTCCTTTGCAGATAGAGAGGTCAATAAGAGATAAAAGCACAAGGCATTACGGAGGGGTGGATGGGAATGCTTTTTAAAGTCCTTTTACCTTTCTTCCTCTTTCCCGCTTCCTTTTTATTCATGGTGGGAATGTGGCTGTAATGGCTGGTACTGCAGTGATTATAATGAGTCTGAGTGGTATGCATTCTACTGTTCGGTATGAGCCCTACCTTTCCCTTTTGTAGCCCCAATGCCAAGGCCAAGTATAGTTGTCATTTGTCATCACACATGTGATTTATTTTCCTACAGTAAAAGGAAAATTAAATATTTATTGTACCCATGTCTTAAATTGTTTTTCTCATACTCTGTCTGCTTAGCCCACCTATATTACCTCTCTAGCCTCTGTAGGCATTTGAGTTTGTAACCCTTCCATGATACCTGGCTTCTCCCTAAATGTCAAGATGATTAGATGTCCTTGGGAGAAATTATAGTCAAGTACAAAGAACATCATTAGATTTTAGTTTAGAAAAATCTTAACTTCAAATCCTAGCTCTATGGTGCACTTACTGTGTGATCATAGGCAAGTTGAGCTTTCATTTTCTTACTTGTAAAAAGGGATAATAGCTAGCCGCCCACTTTGGATAACTGTTACAAGGATTCAATGAGGAAACCTACATAAGGGGTGGCTCCGACACAGTGTCTTTAAAAACTAATAAATGGTTGTCACTTTCCCTATTGGAATGATCTTCATGGAGACAACTAACATTTGCACTTACCTGAATTTTATCACACCAGCCAGCAAAATATCTGAAGGTCTGTACAGACATTCCAATGTGAGTCTTCAGAGCCAGAGTATAGACAGCGCCTGAATCGAGAGCTTCAATGGTTGCCAGTTCTTCTTGGTTTTCTTCCAGTAGGTCTGCAAGTCTGTACAGTTAGTGAAAGAAATCCACTTAACACATGTTGATTGAGCCCCTATTATCTACAAGAACCATCCTAAGGGCTGAGAATTCAGAGGGGAACATGAATGGACTGGGTCTCTGTCGTCATGGAGAAAATGGTCCAGTAGGGAAAACAGACATTAAACAAATAATGTCATAAATTATTTATCCCAAGACTTAAAAAAGAGATACAGAGGTGTTGGAAGCCTGTACAATTTGCTTCATAAATTTATAAGCAGTAGAACAGTGATGGAGCCATGGAAATCTAAGGAGATCCATAATAGATAACAGTGGGCATGTGGATAGTTCGTGAATATACAGGGAGATGTTAGAATGCAACCTTCACCCTTGGAGGACCCATGAATGCTTGAGGATTTCTGGTTGGTACAGAAATATTTCTAATACTAACAGAAGAAGACAAGATAGAGATGCATGGAATGAATTGAGACATCAGAAGAGATTTCTATCTAGTGTCCAATTTCTATGGGAAGATAAGTCCAGGACTGTCCAATGACTATAAAGTAACAAAAATTCACCTTTTTTGCTCTCCTCCATTATTCATTTTCTTTCCTTCCTTTAGTGATTTTCTGAGCTGTTCCATTTGGACCATTCCAAACTCAGACTTCAAATCCCCTTCTCCTAATGTTTCTTCTAGATCTTGCTCTAAAAGACCTTTTGACCAAGATCTGCTCTTTGGTTTTAAGTAAGTAGAAAACTGGATTTATGTTTGAATCTAGTTAATCTTGCCATACTCAGTTACTAATTTATAAT